AAGCACGCGTGAAAACACTTTTCCCGGCGCATTGCCGGGGGGTTTAACGATAGCTAACCACTGGCAATTCGCCCCGGTTATCGTTATTGTGGAGGTTGTTTCAAGTACTCAAGCAAAGATTTATGTGCGAAGCGCCATTCCATATTCCTGCCAGTACACAAGCGAAGCGGTGAGTGTTAATGCTACTACAGTACTGGTATTATTAATAATACGTATTACTATTATTAATAATACGTATTAATATTATAAATAATAGTACTTCGAAGTAATAGAGTTATGCATTCGTTAATATTTGGAGTTTCTAGTCCAATTTGGAGTTTCTAGTCCAATCGAAAATCCAATAAAATTGATTCACTGTCAATCCAACATTCCAACCAATGGTACTTCAGTGATGTTTGACCCAAAGATATGGCCCGCGAACACTTTAATAACGTTATGTAATTTTTGAGCAGAATATAATTGACTGATGGTATTGAATTTAGTATTACTATTTTTAATGACTTGTCGGGACATTTGTTGGGGTACTTGTCGGGACATTTGTTGGGGCGCACCACAACTTGTTTTACACTGTTAGTACTCCTAGAAATATTTACAATAGTACAAACGGATGAGTTTCAAATGTATTACAATTCAAATATGCGAGGGAGGGCCTTTTCAAACGAGCTTCTGACCGTCGAGGCACTGATTGAATCCACGACATCGCCGATGGTCGACCATCGGCGATCACAACTCACGAGTTCAGAATAAGTTCAGTAATATCCTCACAACCCGCTTTCCTGTGGCGTGAGGATGCTTTGGCTGAACTTGATTAACTGTAAAGTAACGGCACTTTGTATCCTGCCAGGCTGAGTGAGGATTACTACACCTTTTCCCGATCAAAGTGGCACTTTATTCCAATCAAAGTGGCGATAAAAAATATAAAACGTTTGAAACTCTCCGGATAGTTACAAAGAAACTGCACATTTCCATTACAATGTGGTTTAATTCCAATCAATGTGGTGCAAATTACATTCCGTAGGACATATCATCGAACCGAAGCGCCTTCTCAACATTGCGCTGACAAAACATAGCCTCACGAATAACCAATGACTGGGTAATGCATGGAAGGCTTTCACGGGCAGCTTCTCAAGCAATAGCATGCGACTCTCCAGGAAGGAATTGAACTCCCCGCGTTCAAACAGCACATTGGTGCGCGACGCAAGCAAAACGTTTGATGTGGGCCTTCAACACGCTAAAGCAGCTTTCAATAGGATTTAGCATCGGTGAGTATGGCCCAAAGCGCAAGAGCACCAAGTCCTCGTATGGCTCAACGCGCTGCTCAGTTTGAGAGTGTGCAGGTGCGTTGTCAAGAACAATGACCACCCTCTTGTCCTCAAAGTTCGTGTTCCAGGAGGCACTTGCCTTCACGGCTTGATATATCTCTTCAACAAACGCCGCATTCTGGGCCATCTTGATGCTTCCACACACCAACCGATGGCCGACACAGCACACTGCACTTGAAGATTTGGCCCTTTTGACGGAGGAAGCACTAACGTCGCTCATTGGCCTTTCTTTGCACGCCCGAGGGTGCGATGGCAGTAGATGTTGTAGTTGGTTTCGTCGTAGTATGCAATGTAGTCTCCGCATTGTTGATGTTGCAAAAGGGTGTCCACAAACGCCTTTCGCTTTGTCTTGTTGGCTTCGTTGTTGCATGTCACAGGCTCGATACGCATAGCTTTGATGGTGTACAGCATTCCGAGCAGGTGGCAGACGGCCCCCTGACATTCGAGGCCAACGTAAGGCTTGGTCACTAACTACTGTAGTTATTAATATTGCTCGTCGATGTAACGCTTGGTCACTAACTACTGTTTTTATAAATATTGCTCGTCGATCTAAAGCTAATATAGAATTTGTACTTTTTTAGTCAAACCTACATTCATTACTCCGAGGTAGGGCACAAATACGTGCTGGCAAGTCCGTGTACTTCAACAAGGCCCTTTTTGAGACTGGCCATGTTATTGCATATCGTCTGAGCCGTAGGCAAGCTCTCGCCTCCGAGGGACACGTTGGAGCGGCCCCAGATGTCGGCAATGTTCTTCAACGAAGCACTTTATGAGACTGGCCATGCTAATTGTATAATAAAAAGAAATATTTTATATTATCTTAACATTCGTATGTGGAGGCTATATATTTATTATATTTGTGAGGTCTGTGTTTAGGTCGGCCGTCCACTAGTCTGGAGGTACTTACTGTTACTAGCAGTAGTACTCGGAGTACTCGAGTACTGTATTTCAGGGGTACTACATGCAGTCCGGAACACTACAGTACGTAAGCACGTGGAGTACGCAAAGTTAGGGAGATTTCGCAAACGTCTCATTACCGTACAGTAACACATGCACGGTTTCGATGAATTAACCAACCAAACAAAAACTGTACACTCGTCGCCCATCACGCCCGAAGGTCCAGGGAGTCGCCCAGTGTGAATCCATGCTTTGTTTGAGTAGCCCGCCTAATGGAATAAAAATGTCACTTTTCATCCATCTTTCTTCAAATGCTATTAATAGGGGGTTTCAATGTTAAAATGGAGAATGGTCAATGGAGTTTTTTATCGTTACACACGATTTTGAGTAATTTTATTGGTGAAAATGATTTCCATCCTCCACCACCATCTTCCATAGGCGATATGTCACAGTTCCGGATACAAGATCCGGATCCACGTGGCTGTACCATGGCACACAGGTTAAAGACAAAGCCAGACCCAAACCCACGAGCGGCCAACGACGCCGCTACGTGCCAAGGAAACGGCAAAGGGTTCGCCGCCCCTTTGCTTCGGACCACCCCCGGCCCTTTTGGTTTACCAGCTCAAGATGGCTGGTCCTGCTTGGCTTAGTCATAGCGTTAGATTGTTATAACGCTATCAATTCACTTCTCATTTTACCATCTACTGCGCCTTCCTCTGTGCACGCACGTTTACACCTGGTAGCACTCCACGTTCGTCCACGGCCTATGTCTTCCTCCTCCACCCCCATTACGCCAGCGCATCAACTGGTTCTCGACCGCATGTACCTGGTGTTCGGCGAACAAGACACTGCAACCCTTCTCGGGAGCCTCTCCCCCGAGAACCAAGCTCGTCTGGTGGAGGGCATCGGTCGACTTATCGACCAAGCCGTCATGGATGCCGTCACCCCCCTGACTGCACTTCACACCGCTCTGGAAAGCCAACTGTCCACCATGGCAGCCCATGGTCGTACTTTCGAAAAGTCACTCGCACGCAGCGCGACTGAAGTCGAGCGCCTTACGTACGCGCTCCATGCCTCCGAACAACAAAGTCCCTCCCGGCTGAAGCCGATCAAACTCGAGGTCACGAAATTCGGTGGAGCGTAGTCCGACAAACTCCTCCGCTGGATCCTCCAAGTTGAGACCGCTGCGAACGCGCAGCGTATCCTGGACGATGACACTCGAGTCGCTTTCGCGATGTCGCACTTGAAGGGCCGTGCCGAAGATTGGGCGTTTTCCAAACGCCTCATGGACCCTTTGTGCTTTCCCTCCCTCGACGACTTCATGCATGAAATGAAGTCCACGTTTCTGCCCCCCAATAGCGACTTTCGCTATCGCACCAAGTTTCTTGAATGCAAACAAGAAAAGCGCTCCCTCCAAGAATACATCCACGACCTTCGCTTTTTGGCAGCGCACGTCAACGACGAAAAATCGCTCCCTGAAGCGATGCGCGTCACTGTGTTCATGGCCGGGTTGAATCAAGGCCCCGCGCGGACTCAATTGTTCCGCGAATATCCCACCACGTTCGAAGCCGCTGTTCGAATCGCGCTCTCAGAGT